TCTTCAGCCAGCATCCATAGCACGTTGACCTTTTTGGCCGTACCGCATCTCTCTTCGAAGTCGTCGCCTAGCTTCATGATGCAGCTAAAAGCTAGACTCCATCCGTTGACACCAGCGGCGTAAAAAGTCTCTGCAACTGCAGCCTCGCGGCTACCACACTTGACAAGCTTGTAGATCTGGCGGCCATTGAAGTGGGCGCCGTGAATGAAAGGATCGGCTGCTTGGCAGGTACTGAACACTAGACAGTAGACGAGAGGTGTGCTTTCAAGTGCTTCTGACTTGGCCTCAGTACATTGGTGACATGTCCCGGTGTCGTAGCCATCATCCACGGGATGATCAGCAACACACTCAAATATGTCGTCGTCGGTCGGTGTCGTCATGGCCGCTGAAGCCCACACTTTGGGCGTTTCAAGACTCACTGGTCTGGCATTGTGTAGAGGGAGTAGTTCACCCGGTGCGCGTCGATTTGCCTCGAGCGTCTTGACACTCCTGAGAAGCGCTTTGGTAGGCTTCTCGTACCAAATTTCAGAGCTTCCGTACTTGATAAGCCACTCGTACTCTTTGTAGTCTGCCGCACTAGCCGGATGAAGTGTCATGAAGACATTGCGTCTGAATGGCCCGATGCGAATTACACGGCTGGCGAAGTCGGAGATGGACTCGTTAGAGTACTGCTCTTGGATGAACTGGTTCGGGGTGTACACTTCCTCTCCTACACTGCATGGGTTCATGGTCAATGCGGGCGGAGGACCGGGTGGCGGGGGCGGGGGCTAGTATTGATCAGCAATGCATTGATCTGACCGCGTTCTGAACATACTGGGGGAGGAAGTGCTGAGGTCATCATCGGAGCGTTCATGAAGTCTGGTAATCCTGGTGGAGGTGGAGGCTGCTATTGTCAGCTTACGAGCATCCCGCAAAGGGTATGTGGTAGATTGCATACAGGAGGTGGAGGAGGAGGCGGCTAAAGTACACAGTCAGATCAAGTTCTCGTTCTCTGGAATGGTTTCGAACTTACTGGATGAGGGATCTGAGAATTGAATCCTCCGGGGCCAAAGTGACAATCAACCGGCGGTGGCGGCGGTGGTGGTGGTGGTGGAAATGGAGCAGCTTGTCCTGCAGTAGACGCCCCCAGACTGCTTTCTTCGTGCTTCGTCATATCTTCACTTCGTGTGTCCGAACTGAGAGACCAATCTGAGCCCTGGCGTTGCCGTGATGACCCACTCTCAGTCATCCGTTCTTTCATGTCCTCCTCTATTGGTATGGATGGAAGATTGCGTTCGGAAGAGCCGTGTTCGACTGGAGAGGAAGGCATCTCTACGGCAGAACGGGCCTCTTGTTGATACGGATTGAGATTTGCTTGTTTGCCGTTTGGTCTGGGTTCCGGAAGCGGTCGGGAAGACGAAAGGATGGGCATCGAGGTTGGATGCTCAACAAATACTATCTCATCAAATTCCATCTCGTAAAGCTATAGCTTTGGGGGAAACACTGATGGCTAAAACAGGAAACCGTCCTGGTATTTATGAAGAAGATTGTTGTACGGTATCAGTCGAAGGCATGCGCGAATAATAGAGCCGGTTGGATCACCAGGCTAGAGGACCGAAAGTTTGGGAAGCTAGCAAGTAAGTGAAGTAATTCAGCCAGCGCAGGTAAAATCGTGGTCAAATTGCGTTGTGTGCCTAGAAAAAAAGCAAGGCACAGGTAGATATTATGCCCGGTGTCCTGTGGCTCAAAATGGGCCTCCCGTCCTCAAATCGGGCTGGCTATACAGCCCTTGCAAAAGAATCGGCGATTGAAAGACTTCCGAACAACTTTCGATTACAGGCATGTGGCGTCGATCAATTCGCCAATGTCCTACGAAGATTGTAGCACTGTTGTCGTACATGTACCACTCATCCACTGTAACGCTGAGCGCTTAGACCATGCCCTCGAAACCACCTGTCTATTCCCATTGATTTGATGCCTTGTCAACGAGGCTATAGAAGTACTGTACGAGGTTACGCACGGCTATGGAGCTTCGTGCAGAGAAGCTGTACTCGACCCTGTCATTCATCGCTTCACTTCGAGTGAGCCCAAAATACTCATCTCGGCTGGGCGATGACCGGCCGCATTTCGCCAAGATGATGAACCAAAGCTGACTAGGGTATCTGCAGATAAGGCCAATAGAGCATAATGATCGTATGCAGAATAAGGTTCGCAGTGTCTGGATGTTACCCGAGCCAGTAATGACGAGAGTCGAGTGAAGCAGTCGCTCATTATCGTACAACTTTTTTGCGGCTCCGCACGCATACTCGAAAGAACCGCGATAAAGACTCGAATCCTCTTTGCGAAGCATCTGGGAACGACGAGGCATCCCCTCGCCAAACAAGCGGTGAAAGGATAGGCCATCTCTACATTCTTGTGAAAACGAGTGTCCAATCCAATGGGCTGGTTGGAAGCAACCTTGATGGTATTGGACGCTCAAAAGTCTAGCACCGTACCCTGGTGCTATGCATGAAGCTGTGTATCTTATCCATCCTGTAGCATGTGATGCCGATACCTGGGGTCGGCTACAAACGAGGGGCCGAACATTGCCGATGCGTTCTCCGGATCTCGTCATCTTGAGGTCCAGAAATCGCAAACCAGCAATTGCATGGGTGAAAGGGAACCTGCCCCAGATGTGAGGGTGCGCAATTGCCCTTCGCCTTTGCAACATTGATGTGAGCCGCCCCTGGAAACCTTCCTGGACGGTCATGCAGACGCCGACAGCCACATGCATTCCATGTCACACCGCGTTATCGCTTCTGTACGCTAAGTTTGTGACCACCACGTCGAATGACTCGATACAAGGGAAGACGTATTTGTAGCCCTGAATGTATACAGCTCCGATATGCGGAACGTGGGGAGTTTCCAGTGTCCCGATGTACGGTTTTGTGGACAAGGCTGTCGGATGCAGGTACCATGGCTAAGTAGCCGAGGCAAGGCTGAGTATCCTGGATGTTGACCGGAATCGAACATCCATTTCCAACCTTCCGAGTCTCAGTGTGGCTCATGAATACTCAACATGGAGGCCCAAGTAAGCTCTCCCAACGACTGCCCTAGGCGTTCATCGTGCCTTAGTTGGACTGTGACCGAAGCCGCAGGTCCTCTGTCCAGGATAGTATCGCCCAGGGCCAGGGAAAGGCTCAACGAAATATAGCCTGAAGTGATCCAGAAGGTCCAGATTCCCGTTAAGGCCTCCAGTCAGATTTTTGGCCAAGCTTGCAAAGCAAACTGATGAGAAAGTAAAGCAAGGAAGAAAGGGAGAGGAGTGCTCGTAGGTAGGAGTACGAGAGACCTTATAGACATGGAAACCCTGAGACATCAGACAAGATCAGGAGATCATGGAGGTGCTCCATACTTTTTGAGAGAAGAGTGAAGCTGACAGGAATGTAAAATGAAAAGAAGTGAGGCGCATCGATATTGTGAAGCATAACGATCTCCATGCTGGGCATGCTCGATCGGGCAAGAACGCGCAACGGCGGCAAGAGAGACTTGGAAACACGCGTAGGAGTTTTCTATGCCAGATGATCGCTACAGCGATAAGGAGGCGACGCAAGGAAAAGTTAGAAGGACTTGATGTTCAAACAAAGACTGCAGGACCTCGGAGCCTACTCCAGGTAACCATGTGGATTCCCACGTGACACCATCACGACGCGCCAAGCCTGGAAGCACGATCCGTAGCGTCATCGCAAGCTCGCAGCTCGCGACACCACGGCGAAGCCATCTCCACATCACGACATCCGCTCCCTCTACACGCACTTCACCATCCCCGAAGGTCGAACAAAACCTGACCGCCGCACCGCCACACGCAAACCCCCATAAACCATCTCACCCGCGCGTCACTTCCCAAACCACGACCTACAATGGCGAACGGGTCAGTTCCGCGATCCGCTTAACGCAGCTCTCCAGCATGCCAGCCACTAACATAACCCCAGCTGGGCACCAATCATCGGCCTCATCGTCACCGTCATCTTCTGCGGCGCCGCCTGGTTCCTAGCTCCTAAAGGCGAGAACCAAACGTACGTTCCCACCATCTCTTCGTCCAGCACAAAGTCACCACCCAAATCACCACCCGCACCCCCAAAGCCGTGTCTGCGCGACGAGAATGAGAATGCGCGAGAGAAGCTGCTAGCAGTGTGCAAGAAGCGCGGTGCAGGCGATGGGAGACGAGTCCGTTTCAGCAATGAGCATGAGACGAGCGAGGATGTGGACATCAACATCAACGACAGCGAGCTAAGACGAGCATTTTGAGATGCAAGGAGCAAGAGAGACACATTGGGCTAACTCCATCGGACAGGGTCTGGCGATCTACACTCGTTCTCTCTGCCGCGGCCATGTATATCATGTGGGCGATTACTTTCCTCGCACAACTTCATCCTCTTATCTCGCCTGTACGAAACGGTCTGCGACCGGAATACAATGGAGGGCGTTAGCGGAGCTCGACTGGGGATGCTAGACGCGCGGGGAATAGGCATTTGCACGTTGAAGGAATGATGGCTTGGGGTGGCTTGGACAAGACGAGATATAGGAAGCAGTAGGGCATATGCTGGAGAGATGCATATTGCTCTAGCAACTGCGTCCTGTCTGGCTCCCGTATCGAAAGCCATCGACAAAGGACGACGAGAGCAGTGCATTGCCGAATACTTGAGCGCATGTGTATAGTTGGCTTTTGGGCGTACTACGGAGTCTTTCTCGATTTGTACAAATATCAATTGGGGTATTATTGCTTTCCATCCAAACAAAACGCTCATAACCAACTTTCCCAAACCTCAATATGCCTTCAAGAAACACTGACCGCACCACTTGCCCACTCCCAAACACCCCCCAAAACAGTCCACTCCCTCCAATACCCCTCCCACCCCGTCCCCAACCCCGCCGCCCTCAAAATCCCCCATCCAACCGCCGTCCTCAGCCCCGCCCCTATCCCCACCAACACACCCGCCCTCACATACCCACAATCCATGAGTATCTCCAGCGCCGCAATATTATTCACGATAACCGCCCAACTCACCGCCGTAGCCGAACTGGGTAGATCGTAGTCCCATATAATAAGCAGTATAGGAAACAGTTTCGTGCAACTGCTAACCAGCAGCGCAGTCGATAGTGGTGTAGGGGAGTCGAAACTGGGTATACATCTCTGCCACAAGCGGCGGAGTGTGCGGCTGGGGAGGCGGGTGGCGTCGAAGGCACAGAGGAGGCGGATGGGGAGGTGGAAGGCTAGTGTGCAGAGGGTGACGAGGCAGAGGAAGAATAGGTATTGGAGGCCTAGGGGGTGGGCTTGGAGGACTACGGCGTTTGTGATGCCGTCGTGGGGTGCGACGAGGGGGCTTGTTGATGTTGTGTTTAGGGCGGGTGAGGAGGGGGAGTAGGGTGTTGGGTGGTAGGGCGATGTGGGTGGGAGGGGCAGTTTCTCGATGCGCGCCCAGGTTAGGTAGACGTCGAAGAGGAGGAGGAGGATGCCGAGGCGGAGTATGGATCGCTGGAGTTATGTTAGCGACTATTGTCTCCTCTAGATACCTCCCCTCACTCCCATCGCAAACCCCGTAAATCGGTAATACGTACATCAAACCCCAACCGTCCCTCATGTTTCCCCAACCGATTAAACAGCAAGTGCCGATACACCTCCGCTTTGATCAACACGAGGTCGATGAAGAGGACTACGAAATCGTGCTCGACGTATTTGTCCGCGAATTTCTTGCATACAGGGCATTGGGTCAGGCGGACGCCTTTGCCGAGGGCGCGGTCGTCGGCTTTGGAGTAGGTCGTGTAGAGTGTGCGCACGGGGGTGCGGCATGAGATGCAGATTGGCATTGTGTGGGGGTTGGGACGGAGGATCGCGAGGTATGGAAGAGAGGTTACATGGCGTGGCGATTCGGTCGGAAGTGTTTGTTCGTCGCGCTGGAAGCTGTGGGATGTGGGGTGGGAGTGTTAGAGAAGATACGCAGAGTGACGATGCTTGGGAACGCGTATCGATACGGCGTTAACGTGAACGCTAAAGTCCGACAGATCGCCAGTTCCCAAAGCTCAAAAGTCTCACAGGTCCTATCAAACGTCTTCCATTATAATACTTCATTCAAGAATACGCTAGCCTTGATTATGCTCCGTCTTCGTCTTATGTCCTACAAGATGGGTTCAAATGCTTTTTACGCCAGTCACCCCTCCCAATACTCATGCAACCTATTCAACGCCTCGCGCTGCAAGAATGCTAACGAAGAGAAACAACCCAAAATACACAATCATCGCTTTCTGTATATCTTCACAACGCTTCATCCGTGGCTCCCTCTGCTCCTCCTAAAGTTACGTCTTCTCAGCGCGCAGCTTCCTCAAGAACGGCACTTAGATCCCGAGCACGTTGGATCCATGCCTGGTCGTCCATGTCGCGCCCCAAAACGTCGCTGCTCAAGATAATACGCATCACCTCTGCAAGACCAATGGCGTTCTCAGGACCGCCGAAGAGTGCACCGGTTCGTCTGCTTACTGAACCCCATTGCTCCACAAGGTAAATAATCCACTTAACGAGCAGCTTGCGGTTTCGGCCAGCGAAAGGCTGTTCTTGCGCGTACCAAAGCGCTTCCAGCGTGGCGACTAGGCTTTCAAAAGGCGCATTAAGTTTGAGGAAGACGTCAATCGGCCATGTAAGGTTGCTGTTGAGTGCGAGGTTCTGCGCATTCGGCGCATTGGCATCGTGTACGTAGAACTCGAGGTCGTACTGGAGGAGGAGTTGTAGCACGATGTTGACGGGAAAGACGTTGTCGTTGAGGTTGGTTCGGTGACCAAGGTCCTCGACCTTCAACGCGACAATTTCCCAAGGCGCGCCCTGTCGGTCGGCGAGAGCGTTCCGGTGAGTTTGGTCGATGAGGTTAGTCCATGTCGATCGAATGTCTGGCACGCTGCGGTAGTCGGCGGCGTGGTATATCAATAGACATATATCGTAGTATGCTGCTTGGTCGGCGTAGTCGTGGTAAAGCTAAGGCATCGTTAGTCAAGTCATCCCCAAAGAATTCTGCAATAACGTACTTCGTCAAGCGGGTGGATCTGGCCGTTGAGGTGGGCGATGACATCCTCTCTCCGCTTACCGGAGAGACGCTCGTCGCCCTTGATCCTCTGTAGCACATCGTCTTGAATGTTGGCAATGTCTAGGTGGTCGGTGATATTTCGCAGAAGCTCCTGTCTTGATTGCCTGTTGCGGACTCCATTCTCTGCGAAACCATTCATCCGCGTCGAAGCATTCGCCTTTGCGCGCGACAAATACTCGATCCTCTTTTCCAGCGTCAAGGGCAGGGTGCTCTTAGCAAGTTGGTATTGTGTCTCAGCAGCGCTGAGGTAGTCGTTGTAGTGGGCGTAGTAGCGCCACAACAGGTCCGCATGCGCGAGGTTCGTCTCCGAGCTTTGGCGCAGGTAGTCGACAACGAAAGGAGAATTGATCTCAAGCAACCGCTCAGCCCAGCCGTTCTGCATGTACCAGTCGTACAGGTAGTTTTGGAAGACCTCGTCGTCTGAGTTGTTGATTTGCTCATACGCTTCATGCTTGCGGCGTGTGACCGGGGAGATGACACCGTCGGGCACAGGGCCCTGGGTGTTGTAGGCGTGGTCTACAGCTTCGATGACTTTGCAGATCAATGTGTAGCAAGAGGCACGCTTGTCAAAGTATTCTCGACGCGCGTCATTCGGATCGACGTTCTGTTCGCTCTTGTCTCGTACCCAAGATAGAGCTTTGTTACCACGGTCCCACTCTTGCGCAACCTTCAAAGCAAGTCTAATAGCACCTAAATATCATATTAGTAGTGTAGAAGAGTGGAGTGTCAGTCAAACTTACCCGCATAGAACTCGAGCTGAATGTACTGATTGACTGTAGCAGCCAGGTTTTCGTAACTCAGACTCTTCGCCACTTGCTCGAACAATCTCAGACTGTCGTTGAGCAGGATGCGCCCACGTTCGGCATTCGCACCAGAATCGGCGGCCTTCTTCAGACTCTCCTGTGCCTTGAAGATGACGACGTCGTCTGAGCTACAGAAGCTGCCACACTTTCTCCGCAGGGCTTCAGCAACAGATTCGACGTTAGAACCTTTGGCGATGTTACGGTTCACTATAGCCTTGACCAATTCCCTTGCAAGCTCTTTGCCCTCTTTGACAGAGAAAAGGCCTTGGAAGGTGAGTTGACGCACTCTCCCCTGTAACTGAGGATCCGGCAGAAGAACCAAGATATCTTCTACGCGCTCCTCAAAGAGTACCAGAACGAAAGATATGCCTTCAACAATGTTGTTGATCATCTGCAACAAGCTAGTAAGCGCTCTGTTCTCGCCCTGAAGCTCAACCTCTTCTTGTCGCGATGATGCGCGTCCAAGCGCCTCTGGACCGGCCAGACCTTCAATGAAGGACCTGTTTGATTCGAGGAACTCTTGGAGTTGAGCCAACGAGCGTTGCACTTCCTGCAACTTGGTGATCGGATGTGTCGATGTGAGAACAGGCCCGGTGGGAGTGACAGCCTCCGTAATGATCGGCGTGTTCCAGATTGAACGGATAATGCGTGACACGTACATGGCGATACCATCGTGTCTTGGTGAAGCGCGGACATTCTCCACACTCAAGCCTTCGACGGTTGCGCTCTCTGTCAAATGTGCTTTGCCACCAAATTCGATGAACACCCTACGAGCGAAGTCAATGACCTCGGGATCAGTGACCTTCGCAATCCGCGAATCAGGTCCCACGTCCGAGCCTTGACCGCACGCAACCGCCAGAGCGGTGGCAGAAGTCTCAGCCAGGCCATACTGCTTCGCCAGCTTGCGGATGTCGCCTTCAGCACCCTCGTGACCTCCATTCTTCACGATTGAAGCGAAGATATCCACGAGCCTCCTTCGTCGAACTGTTTCGATACCGGCTGATGTGATGATGGCGTATTCACTTAGGGGTTTGTCGAATTGGGTCGAGAGCTCATTGCCAAATCCGAGAGGTTCATTCCTCGCTGAGAAGGGCTCTGACACCAGACCGATATCCTGCACTCTGCCCATGAGTTCTGTGAACACACCGGTTTCAGTGTATCGCGGGGGTTCTGAGCTTTCGCGCTGGCCCAGCAATCCGGAGTGTGGTGCCGAGACGAACATGTGGTGGTTCTGATCGTTTGGCGCTAGGAGGACGAAAGAGAAGAACGCGCCGGGCGCGTAACGGGTTGCGACAGTTGTCTCTCTGAGGTATCTCGACTCGAATCCAACCGCTGTACCACCCTGGTATGGCTGTACCTGAGTCGAATTGCTCTGCTGCGAAGGCTGACCGTCGTTGGGCGGGAAGCGGATGTGTCGTAGCTGCATGCTGTTAGGAGCGCTTGTGCTGTTCGAGTTCCACTGCCCTCCAGACGTTGTGCTTAAATACAGCCTACAGCCAGAGGATGTGATGGCCATTAGAGACAAGTTGTCCGCTTCGGTGCTAGATATGGGGGTTAGGCCAATAATCTGCATCTTGTCCAGTACACCAGTGGGCCGCACAATATGTCCGCACATTGTCTCGATTTGTGTTCGTGTCCGGGTGAGGGAGCTCTCCAAGACGTTGGGCGCGCGCATGTAGTAGACCTTGATGGTACCGTTGGTGGAAAGCGTGTATAGGACGTTCCGGGTATCGTCAATCACCATCTGCTGGATGCCAGCCTGTTGCGTGGGTCCGTAGAATGGTAGTGTGGGTAGCCCAATGGAGGTCGTTACGTGGTTCGTCTTGCTGCACTTGCTGGAAAACCACTTGTCCTCCTGCTGGTAGTTCAGCTCGTATACGTCCTCGGTCTGGCCGTCACCAAAGAAGATGCGCCCCGTTGTTGACGAGCCGGCAATCGCAGTCACGTTGATCTTCCTGACCGAGGTCGACAGTCCCGTCCGATACATTGTGATGCCATGAACGCCCTCGGGTCCTCGCTGGCATTCCACCGCTATCAGGAAGATGTCGGATACGGTCGCGACTACAAGGAGGTATTCGATGGTGCCAACAAAGACACCGGGACGCGGCTTGACGAGCTTGACGCATGTGATGTTGCTGGGTTGCTCTTCGAAACCGACGAGTTCAGGGTTCGGATGTGTGTAGTCCCAGAGGTAGACCTGATTGTCGACGACGACCCAGGCGTGGTTGATTTCGGCGAACAGGCCCATGCTCGTCGACATCTGCGTGTGGTCCACCTGCTCAAAGACGGCTTCTGGGAGTTTGTAGGACCGCAGTTTCTGGAAGGGCGCCCAGGCTGGGCTGTTAGGGATCTCATACTCGCCCGAGATGCCCTCTACACGACCTTGTTAGCATCTCACCCAGCTTCTGCCGCTATACCTGACTACTCACGTCCAATGTACGCCTCTAGCGCGGGAAACCTGTTATCCCGATCCAGCATGCTGTTTATGGTCCGCGATGCGCGATCGATGGGGCTCTCGGCGGGCGGTGCAGGCAGCGCTTGCTGTTGCTGCGGCTGTGGTTGCGACATGGAGCCAGTTCGTGTGAAGCCCGGCCGGTTGGGCGCGGGCGTGTTGACGAAGGCGCCGGGGGTGGGGCGTTGCGGCGTCGCGGGCGCCATCTGGAAGGCCATGATGGATTGCGTGTAGAGTCGAAGGGATGCGCTGGTCGTGGCCCGGGTGAGAGCGAGCTTCAGATGGAGGTTGGGGGAACGCGCCGGTGAGATGGCGTGCACATGAGCTGCGCGCGGATGCGTCGATGAAATAAAATTAAGAAAGGCGCGCCGAGAGAAAGATCAAAAGGGTGCTCTGGCGCAATTGCGACGCTGAGGCTCAGGTACAAGCTGCAAAAGTGACGGCGGTCCACAACAAAAGAGATGCTTGGCGCGCAGGGAT